ATGCTTGAATCCATAGTTAAATTCATCTAATGTTCTATTCCAATCGAAATAAGGATCTTGATAGGTATCTGATGCCCAATTACGGGCACAACTCCAGCAGCACATCCAGTCTAGTATGATCATCATCAGCATAAACTTCTTCATGATTTTCTGGTCATTATTCCCCTTACGTCTTTAATTCGGATATTCCACTCAGGATGTGGTGATTGGAGGGGTTCTGATTTGAGCGTTCGGAATTCTCATAATTTTCACCAGTTTTAATTGGACACCAGAAGTTTCTGCACAGTTTACTAGGGTCATTGGTAACAACCGTTGGATGTAGTTATCACTGGTTTTAAAAGGGTTCAACTGCTGTGTGGAATCGCTACTGCGTCATAATTTGAGTTTTTACTACTCATTCGCGTAATGGATGGCATTTATTGACGACACGAACGGTGTAATTTGGAGATCTGGCAAATGAACGCTGAAGCGAATATTTACACTTTCTGTTTATTTTCATACATGTTTAAGGGATTAATACATATTTTTTTTTTAATTTTAAAGTCATATTTTACTTCGGTATTCGCTTCAAGTTTTGGTTTGAGTATTCGTTTCATATGCATGACTGGTCAAGGATATTTGTTTTAGTTTTGTAAAGAAGTTTGGGAGAGCTTTTACCAAGCAATTTCCTTTTAAAAGTTTTCATCTTATTCGACGAAGGCTCGTAAATTCTTCTAACACGGAGAAATTGTTTTCTGTACATTGCGAATGTTTGCAACGAACTACATTTCATTGTGAAAACTAGATGGGACAGTAGTTGGGAATAAGCGAATTGCAGGGGTATTGTTCAGCGAAATGTGTTGATTTCTTTTGGAGTGTTTCGAAATGTTGATAATGTGATGACAGTATTAACGAGGTCGGAAACAATGGGCACGTCAAGGGGAAATAATCAATGAATAGACGACTACACTTTTTATCTCCGATTTGATAAATAATCGGATAAAACATACGGTTATTTATTGAAATTTTTAAAGAGGATATCAATGTATTATTCAATGATGAAGGGGTGGAACGAGTTTCGCTGAATTGACTGGAAAGTTAGTTTGTGGAAGCTGCGAAAACTGAATGAAATTAATCCAGCGGACCTGGGAAATGAACTAGTTTTGACATTTCACCACTGAAATATTTAATCACATCTTTAACTTTTTGATAGGGTGTTATTGTAATCACCCTGAAAATCGATTTTCCGTTTCTCATCAATTGCCATTTCAATGTTTGAGTATTAACTTCTCCCTCTTGTCGAGAAAATACCTGAGTGTGGGGGTGTCTTACATAAATTTAATCCATGCTTTCACATTAAGGGATGGTACAATCGAAGTGGTGGGAAATGCAATCGATATAAATCGTGACTTAAATTGAAGCTGGTACAAACACTTTTTTGGATTCAACTTCAATTTTTGTGCAACACTTTTCGAGGGTATTTCAAGGAAACATTACTAATGTACTGTGAATTCATAAATAAGACTGAAACGGAAGAAAGAAAGCGATATCGCTACAGAAGTTGGTGGTTTGATCGGTCAAGGGTGCTGATTGCACTTCGCCTCAATATACTACGTGTCAAGTAAATCCGGCGCACCCAATATTAGTCGCATCCGAGTGGAGAGCGCACTTCAGTATGCGACTGATTTAAAGTGCTATTACTTTTTATTGATTCCTATTGGTTCCTACAAATATGAGGTCATTAATCATGGATTGTGAAGATTTGTGCATTTGTGTTGTTCCATCTCATGCGAAATTTATGTTTTCATCAATAAAAAATTATGTTCATTTCGTCTCCAGCCGTTCGATGCCGGATTTTTATGAATTCTTTTATGGAAATTTTATTTTTATGAAAGAAAATTGATTCCCGTCGGTTGCTGCAAATGTAAGGTCATGAATCATCGGACGTGAGGATTTCTGCCTTTGCGTTCTTTTACCTCCTGTGATATTTATATATTTATCAATAAAAAATTATGTAAATATTCATAATGGGAAATAAATTTAGAATGGAAACCGTTGGAAATCCAAAAAGGAATTCATTATTTTTTAATTCATTGGAAGGGGAGTATTCTGTGGGAACAGCGAATGGCCCGAATAAGTAGAAGGAATTTGAATAATTATGCGGGCAGTTGAAAGAATAATTACGATGGTAAAATTCGCACGGTAATTTCCACAGCCATTTGTGAACTCTGAATCTCTACATATTTCGTCTCTTGTCTCTGTCACTGTATTTTTTCAATCATCTATTAATCCATAACAATTAATTTACATTTACGAATTTTATTCTACTTTTCATTCTTTATATGGATCGCTGAGTAATCTTGATGCATTCCTCCAACGAACTACTGAAGCGAGGATGCAAGTGGTAATGAGAATTTAAGATACGGTATTAAGACGAATGCAAAGTGTTACTGGTGTATTCCGAGAGAGTGCAGTGGATTATCAGGTGAAGTGGAGGCTGCGCACCATCCGTTACTCTTTATTTCAGATCATTTCTCTCTCGGTTTCGTCTTTTTTGGCTCAAGCACTTGGCAAGCTTATAGGGTGAAGGAGAGAAATTGAGCTCAGGTTGTATTGCGGATAAGAGATCTTGAAAAGCCTACACTGTACCTTCGGACTGGTACAACATCCTATATCCACCAAAGACGTTTCACTTCCCCGGAAAACCATTAAATGGCGCTTCCACTACCAGTATTATAGTTATTATTTGATTTATATTGTGTATCGCAGACCAGCCGGATCCCCCAAAATTGTTTTTTTTTAACAGGTCGACTCACAATGTTCATTGTTTTTCGTTCCAATGTTATCGTGATATTCATTTAGGTCGATGCTCAATCGAATGTTATCAGTCCGTGTCCGGATATTGTTCCTATCGATATATATTTTACTTTCGGTAATCCATATTCTTCCATGAAATTCATCTCGTGGCATTGGTAATCGATCGGGCTTATTCCGTCGATGATTTAATTGAGGAACTACCGCAATGAGCATGTCCTACTATTAAATGGCACAAATCGTGTTTTGCATGGGCTCTAGAAGAGCAGAGGGAAGTTTTTTTATATCCTCTGTATCTGGAGTTTTCTTTCGGAGGGTAAGGGGGTTGAAAATTACGAGCAGGTTTACTGGAACATGTGATGGTTATTTGGAACATTATTTCTGGACTTTTAATTGCTAGACGCTACTGGCAATCTCATGAACAGTTTGGAGTTGTTGAGAGAGAATTCAAGTTTCTCGTAAGAAATTATTCTAAGAATTATTCGGAGTCTCTCTTTGAGGTGGGATTTTGGCAACCCGAGATTTGCACAATGTTTATAATGTGTATTTTACATTATTTTGGAGAATTCATTTTTTACGGAAAAATAAAAAATATCCAAATCCCAAACAATATTCGGTGTATTTTCATAATTTCATCTTCATCGCGTTTCCCATTTTTTTTTATTCCCGCAGTTTTTTCTGTCATTTCTCACTGCAGCTTTGAATAAATTTTCAAAACCTTCGTTGATTTCGATGAAATATAGTTGTCATCGATTTTCCGAATAAAACTCGAAATTTCCTAGAATGCACTAATACATGAAGACTCCTCACACATCACACCAAAACGATTCGCGATTTTTACAATGGATTCATAAGCTGAAATTTCCGCGCATAAATCGAAGGAACTTCGACGGAAGAAAACGATATTATCCCCCGCGTATGGGTATCCGGTCAGGCGGTGGCCATAGGTCAAATGGGCGGTTCCGAATATCTCCGAATGTACATATAATAATTTAACTGAAGCAACAGCTTCCGGAATAGAAGTTCTACTGCTATCCATTCTACCAGAACGCTGGGATTTAGGCGACATGGAAGTATGATTACTTTCTCAACATCTGCAAAAATTCTCGAAGACATCAGCTTAAAATTTCCCCCGAAACGATCCCTCCCCTATATTAAAAGAGTAATGAAAGTGTTTATTTTTGTGTCTGGATAAAAATGAAAGCGGCCAAACAATAATAATTAAAGAATGATCATTTAATTTTTAATTTTGCTTCATCTATTCATTAGCACTGGGTGGAAATTCTAGCGAAATGCGGTAACAACTCAACTATTACAAATCTCATGGTGCAAATACGTCAAGACATAAATTCACGGGCGACATCGAGTGTAACTGTAATATGCGCAGTGACTGATGTGGAAATTCCACCACGTACTATTGCCACGACACCGAGGAGTTTAATACAATTGGATTTCGGACTCTGTGCACAAGACTGTCTCATAGGCTCAATGTCTATCTCCATGGTTTCTCTCTATTATTTTTGTTATTTAAGTCTCTTTATTTGCAACCCGAAATTGAAAATTCTGTGATTCGTTGACTAAAATTCCATTGATAGGAAATTTTTATCGATTTACTTGATCAAAACTTCCACTGATAAAAAAACGTTTATGAACGCCTATTTTCATTCCTGAAAATTATATTCGTGATTATAGCGCGTACTACTTTAAGGGATCATTGCTGACGTTTTCTACTTTTTAAATTTTTTTACGAATTTCTGAGAAATAGTTGATAAAATTGACGTGAAAAAAAAATTGTATTTAAGTTTCATTATTATTCAATGTTTTCCGGAGTTGCATCACAATTTTTGCATGAATTCATAAAACTTTTTGGATGTGCAGATTGAAAAACGAAGATTTATCACGCTCTAGGCTATCCCTTATGGATGAATACGCAGGGTTGCGGCGAGTTGTTCACGGGGTACATCCGCAAGGTATACACAAGGGTAGGACATATAGTACTATGTAATACTGTAGAATTGCTGCTGTCTCAGTAGACATTGTTTAAAATTCTGTAACATTGAACCAAAATGTCTGCACCTACAGCATGCAATGCATTTCTGCTCAATGTTTGGTGTAACATGTCACGTGCTCACTTACGTTGCGACGTGTATGCGCTATGAAATTTATATTACGGCGATCCAACGCATAAGATAGTCACACAAATGTCGCTGCAATCTGTTGTACCGCAGGATCAATCCAGATTTTTAATAGAGAAGATTCGACATGCTACACGTTCACCGGAGATTTAATACCTGTAAGTACCTTTAATATTTTCCGCGCGTTGAATGGGGAAGTTTCAAATTTTATTCAGCAATTTTCACGAAAATAGATAACAAAATAAATTATGGAAAATATGAATGATTAAGTAGTGGTGGGTTACTCGTCATCCTTTTAATTCTTCTCTACGGGTTTAGCAAACAGAAAATTACATGAAATTTAGGTATAACTTTTCATTTTTGAATCAGTCAATTTTTTGGTTTTTTAAATAATTCTGTTTTCACCTACCGCAGGTGAAGTATTTTTCTCTCATCATTGCAGTTTTTTACATAAACTATTTCCGCAACAGATGTTGGTGCGAGTGAAATTTTAGTACTCATAACTATTTGATTTACAGCGGTACTGCTGACGCCTCTTACGATGCCACGCGATGCTCAATGCCGGAAGAAAAAAAAAATATTCGGAGAACTATTGGTAATTTGCACGTTATTTTCTGAGGACGAAATGGGAGAGACTTTTTTTTTCTTACATACGTACGTTTACAAACCTTCGAAGAATTGTCTAATTGGCCGAGTGCAGGGGTTCAGTGCAAATTCAGCTAATAAGATTGTAATAGTTGAATTCTTCGGAACACCTGTTGCTGTATCGGTGGGTAACTTGCATTGTGGAATAATTCTATCGAGCGATTTAGGCAATAGTTCGAGACTTACCCTACGGAACATTAATTCGGCGGTGTAAAGCAGCTCATACCCAGAATAATAAAGACTGCAGGAAAGATGAATGAAAAGACTAGGATTAACTATAACACATAATAAAAAAGTTATTGTAAAAACTCCATATCCCTCATCTGGCAAAAAACCATATTTTATTGTACTATATTCAATTTTTAAATATATCGATAAAAAAATGATTTTCGAATGATTCTGTTATGTACTAAAAATAAATAAAATCATTTAGAAACATTTACTTAGCATGAGCGTACAGTCCACATTTTTAATTGTCTAAAAAATCTTTAACGTTTCAAATTTAAACATGCCATCAAGATTATATACAACAATACAAGATGAATATAAAATTAAAAATATACGATAAAATTGTCTGCGTTGGGATAATATTTCTAACTCGATATCTTTTATGAGTTATTGCCGATGATTTTAATAATCGGTGTATGAAGTAAAATTTGTCAAATCATTCAATCGAACACCTCTCCCAACTACAATTGTCGTGAAGAGAAAATAGACGTGATTAAGTTAACGGAGCATTGCAAAGTTTACTTAAGGATGAAACTTCATTCCGATATTGAAGCTCCACTGAACTGGTGACAGAGTTGGTGGCTTATTGATTAAAGTTGGAAACTGTATATCATGGATATAAGTGTACGACTTTTGGGACACCCACCTCGGTATTTTCGATCAGCTCCAATCAGTTATCAATCGACTTTCGACAAGTGCCTTTGAAATTCTCTGAAGTCGGGTTGACTACCTCTTCGTTCTATTATACTTTAGTGAGTATTATGGAAGAGTTTTCGCGAAATTTGATTCACTCGATAAGAACCCGTCTCTGATGGAAGTTGTAATTCCAATACGTTTCAGCAGAGCAGAATTCAAAGTGCATTATTTAATACAAATTAATGAGAGTGATGCAGTGATAAAAAATAGTTAGCACGAAGTGCATGACTACAGATGAGAAACTTAATTATGGAAGTATCCTAGCAGCGAGTCCTGTAATTGCAATAAGGAGCTGAACGCAATCAATGGTTTAATTGGCTTGAAGAAGTCTGATCCCACACCAAACATTTAATCTCACTCCACATTTTATTTATTGGGAAAAAATCTGCAACTTCACACTGACGTGTAGTAAATATTCATTATGGAAGAATTTTTTTTTCGCACTGTACATCATGAGTATATATCGAATATATATGGATAATATGTACGGGCTCATATATGTAGCATATATCTGATATAATACGGTTTTGACCGAAATGTATGAATATATAATTTATATATATGTCGCATGTATATACGCATTCCGTAGAGAATTGGATTTTTTTTTAGATTTTGTAATCTGATCAATCGAAATCGGGGCGATGAAAAGATCAATGCCCAGTGGTCATTCGCTTCAATTGCCTCAAAAGCAGGTGTGACAGTCGCGTGCATTGAAATAGGTAAGACTTGTTATGGATCGTACCAATAACTTCCAGACCAATTTCTCCCTTCTGTTTTCTTTCGTTTCATTTTTTTTTCATACATCTCCCATGATATTTTCCACCATATTTCTCGTCATATTGTCCTAGCATACTTTGTTTGAATCTGTAAAAACATGAGAATTGTGGGTGTTTCACGCAAACAACTTTATGTCCGTCATCCACGCAAACTTGCGTAATTTTGGAAAAAATTATATTTTCTTCACGGTTTTACACAAGTTTTATGGGAACAACTTCAAAACTACGGAAGTAATTGTTTTCAAAAACTAATCGGTGCTGAGTTACATGAAAGTCCATCAATGAATAAATCAATGGTGTCATGTTATATACACGTACATGTTCACATGCACATATAGGGCAGGCTTTCGTGGCAGGATCATTATAGAGGCTTCGATGTTAAGCATCAGCGAATCATGGAAGTTTCGCATGAGATTTTCGCGGTAATTACAATGATTTTCTCCCTTAGGGTCTGCGAGTCGATAAATCGACCAACCACACGCATGGAAAAATTCTGGAAAAAACCTAGCGAATTCGTTAGGCAATTTTATTCTAATTCTATATTACCTACATAGAATTTCTATAGACTTTCTAGTGAAACTTTTTACATAACCTGTATTTGTTTATTATCATAATTCTGTTGAATTTTTAATAAGGGAAATTCAATGAATTTGTTATTTTTGTTTGAATTTTTCTCTGGATTTTTTGTAGAAGAATTCTTGGACATCAATCTTTTTATTTTTTAGCTTGAATTCTGGAATACAAAATACAACTAAATATAGCAAAAGCTTGGAAAATTTGTGTCTAATAATTCTAATGGGAAAACTTTCAAGAGAAAAAAATACTGATGGACTTTTTTCGATCGAATATTCAATGAACTCAGTGCAGAGAACAAATATTGTTTTTCAATAGTTCGCCAATAGAATTTTTCATTAAATTCGGTACTTTTACTTCGGGATTTTATTGATTCTTTCCATTCGTGCACTCGCCAATCCTTTATAAATAAAGTAAATCTTCACCTTAAAATTTTTTGTTCGAGGAAAATGGATGCAATTTGAAGATTAAAAAAAATATATATATTCCCGATTATTTTTGATCAGTCATGACAAAATTATTTAACATATTATCCTATATTTTTAAAACGATTTAACAATTTTCCCTCAAGCTATTCAAATCCACCAAAAATTTTGCTCCAACCCTGATGTTCGATGTTTTTTTCCAAAAAAATCCTGATATAGTATCATTTTATCATGACTTCGTGACATCATGACTTTCTGAAATTTTCTCCCGCAGGAATTGAAACCTCTACTAATTCGTAATGTGCACAATTACTGTTTAATGATACAGAGCAATTGCGGCACTGAAAAATAAACCAAAAAATTTTTTCAAACGACAAATATGTACAAATATGTACAATCCACAATGTATTAATACCAGCCCGAGAACCCGACACGAGATGTATTTCACTAAGTGTATTGCAATGAATCACGTGAGAGGACATAAGTGGTATTTGAATTTCAGGCTCAAGTACTATTTCTCGTAGGTACGGGTGATGAGGGGAGGTAACTTGAAATTGCGATGCAATCACACCAGGAGCAGCCGACTGTATGCGGTCGTATACGTTCAAATTGATTGGTCAGATCTTTCAAGTGCACGGAATCGGATGCAATTTCAAGGAAAACTTTCAAAGAGAATTCCAATATTCCCCTTTTTTCCATCGCTTTCATGCGACCTATCAGCTTCCTACATGGAGTATGAATTTGTTTTTTTCACCACCTGGGACCTCATCCTACGTCTTTTTTGTTTTTATCCATTTCATCGAACTTCCAATTCACTTACTAGTTTTAGTCAAACAAAGAGTTTCAGATGTTTAAATAATTCAATAAATACGATTAGATATTATTTTGCATTATATCACAAAAATTAGATTAGATCATGCGGATCATTACTTGAATCATTACGGATGATGATAATGGAATTATTTTTTATTTTTTTTTTGACGACTTGGTTAATTGATGGAGTTTATTATTGAGGGTAATTAAGGGTGTTGAGGAAAAAATACGAATTATATTAGTAAGTGTTCGGTGGAATTTTATGGTTTTTTATGGATGCCAGTTGATGTAATTTGGAGGAGCATCAATTTTTTAAGGATCGGAGGAATAAAACCCATTGAGAGGCAACCCGCGCGGCTCTGGACTAGAGCAACCACTGACGCGTTGCTCTGGAACTAGCGCTCAGATACGAACGCACCACCTCCCTTCCCCTGTCGTATTACCCTGGACCTATAAGGTCTCACCAGAGCTACGGCGCAACTCGCACTCCAGGTCTGATTACAGTGAATAGATAATTAATACAATTATCCAAACTGTTTTCTCATCCCTTCTCGTTTCGAGAATTGACGAGAAAATTCTCGTGGAGTTATTGCCGATGTCTCTTTTTTCCATTTTTTTTTTTTTTTGAAATTTGTGAGGGTCGGTTGATAAAATTCATGTGAAAACATATACCGTTTTGGAGATTTATTTTTATTGAAGGGCTCATGAAGTTTCTCACTGCGGAATAATTTTATTTCGGTCTCGGCGAACTTTTCCAAAAATTTCCAGAACTTTCCCAAAAATCTAGAGAAATGGACACATGAATATGAAAATCTGGGAGCCATTGAAGAATGATATAACGAAAGGACGATATATTTTTTAGGTCAGTCCGATTTGCGGGCTCCCAGAAATTTACAAACAACATGAAAAATATTCCGTGATACGAACGCGCCTGAAAAAAAATTTTATGGGAATATTTTTTCCAAATTTTCAAAAAATTTCTGGAACACTTTTCAGAATTTTTTTGAAAATTTGAAAAAAATATACCGATTACAATTTTTTTTTACCCAGGAATGCAAATACGGAATGCTATAATTTTTCATAGCGGTAATTGTTTAATGGGATAACGGACGAAGAAGATGAATTCGCGTCGGGATTTGTCCTGATAAGAAATTAATGCGAGTGCCGTTAAACTGACAGGTTCCTAGCTCAGAAGCCGGTAAAACGACGACGAGTGCCCAGCGTCAGACAGATGCAAGCATTTATGGAAATACAAGAGAATGAACACAGAACTGAGAGTACATAGTAGTTATATTGTGGTGAAATTCTATTCCAAGTGAATCTCCACGATAATGGATTGAATCGTGAATTTAAAATAACTCATGTGGAATGCATCCTTTGCACAGGTAGGACTATTTGTTCGATTCCACAGCAAATACAAAATGCTCATCATGTGGCCGAATGAATTGTTTCCAATAATGTCAATAAAGGTCAATGACGGTGATATTCAAAGAGAAAAAAGTACAGGACGAACTAAGTGAATAAATATAGTCTGACTATTACCCTGAGGAGTGTTTGGTTAATGTGAAAGGTGATGTAAATTGTGTTTAACTTGCAATCTCGTGATAATAAAGAGCTCAGCCAGAAAGAGCCCTCGGTATTATATTCGTTATAACTCTATTATGATGCGAATAATGGAATAACGTGGCATACGAAAGATCAGAGATCACAACAGAAACAATAACTGACTGCTTGCATTTTTTTTTAATAGGAGAAAAATCAACAAATATGTTGACAGCATTTTTTGGTAAAGTTAGTGAATTGCGATCCTCAACTAGTAAATATCATCAAAGTTTAGTAATTATAACTATCCTCGTGAAAGAGATTCCTATGTGGCATAATACACCAGTTGCAATATGATATAACGAGTCCTTAGATGGAAATTAATCTCGTTAACTGTGAGGCATTATCCGTGTCTAGGGAAATAGATGGAAAATACACAGACGAAATTTTTATCAATTTCCTGGAAATGGCGTATCAGGTCGTTCATCAAGAACTATTGATGATGTAATAATCAGGATAAATTTTTTCTATAGTATCTTGTATTTGATGCTATACTCAACATCAGAGAGCATTAGTAATAGTGTCTAGCGATGAAAAAAAAAATAACGGTCTGGTGGGCATTTAAAAACAGTTTAATACGTTACCAAAGCATTCACTCGTAGAATGGTGGTAATTTTTATTATTTAATTCGCTCCCTGACGGCTTGTGTCTACAGTCTGGATGCTTTCGAGAAGGTAATCGCTGAGGAATACCTCTGAATAATATAACAGTACGCCGTCTGTCATATTCATTCATAATATCTCAACCGAATTCCATCTATTTCGTTCCCTCGGATTCCTTCATTTTCACCTCAAATGATGGGTGATGGAAGAACCCCCTGTTCTCGTATTTCATGCCCGTTGAACCTCGAAAATTATGAGACACACGGTGGCTTTGAAAAATACGCGAAAGACAGCTTTGCCATTTGATCCCGAGATTGTCATCTCTAAAAAGAAAAATCCATCAACATTATTTACTCTGACACCGCATTACTCATACATTCCTGTTTTTCCACTTTTATTCGCTCCTCTATTGATTTGTCGTGACGGTTTTAGGTGTGAGCTTGGATGAGGATGGTTAAGTATCCGAAGTATATTGCAGTACGTAAATAAGCGTAATTTTTATAGGTCGGAGAAATACTGCCTACGCGAGTAATGTTTCATCGTTAACCTGATTTATGGATATCTGCTCAACATCTGTACCATAATCAAATACAATGTAAGTACATTATACTTAAAATGAGTATATACTATATACGCGGGATACATTGATATTTAATGAGGTTTTAATTTATTATTTTTGTTTTTAAAAAATATACTCCACGAGCTGCATTTTTTGCAACAAAAAGAATACCTCGTTGGACGTTATTTCGTCGCACGTTTCGTTCACTGAATTTTTCATTAATTTCCGTACAATGTAGTAATGCATCTGTCACAGATCACATTGAATTTTCGTGTAGAGAAATAAATGAAAAAAAAAGTCTCGTGATACCTGATGAGCGAAGACGGTATCGTGAGCTAACACATAGTGAACACATTCACGGAATGATCCATTATCAGTTTCAATTTGTTAACCCGTACTGCAAATTGAAAATTGCATTCCAATCTACAGTGGTATGGAATTGAAAGAAGAACTCAGAGGATAAGTAAAGTTGTTTTCAACCGCGTGTTCTCTTACAATAGATGGATTGAAGCATTGTTCAACATATTAGGTCAATCCCTGTACTCGATAAAAAAAGTTGGAGAGTTGACAGATACTTAAAACTTTAAAGAATCCGGGCCCATAGAGGTCTAGAGGTTTTTCCCCATCGGATACTTTCAGGAGTATAAACATCGAAATAAACAAGAAATAAAGAGTGAATTATTGATAATAACACTCAACCGTAATAAAACGTCTTACAATAATTTAGCAATGTTTGTCATTCTATTTATGTAATATAAATTTGTATATTGATTAATAAAGGTTAAACGGGGTGGATGATGATCAGAACTTATTTCTCTTTCGTCAATTTCTCCTCTCCAAAAGATTATCGTCGTGTGCTCATTATTTTGGTTTATGCTGACGCTATGAAAGGGCACGTAATATTTCCTGCCGTCAAAAAAAAGTTTGAATTTTTAATTGACAGGGAAGGATGATAGAGAAAATATTGGAAAAAGCGAGCATCCATCAAAAGTGGATGCAATTTAGTATCTGAAAATGATTTTAATAGAAGTTTTTAAAACGAAACTTGAAAACTGTGGACATTCGCAATTCTCAAACGTTTCTGATTCTGATTCAGTTACTAGATTATTTATTCAGTCCGAATTTTCCATAATTTCAATACGTGTCGGCCCACAGTGAAAATGATTATTCAGATAGAGTACCCGCCTGACAACATTAAATAGCGTTAATTCGGTTGCCTTCGGAAAGATTTATGCATCAGTGGAGAAAACCGTTGGGGAATGAATTTTCAATGATGAGTTTTTTAATTCTCATTCAAGCTGAATAAATAGAAATGTAAATAACTGAAAACGTGACAATCCGATCTCTCCATTAGCGTTTTTCCCCGTGCCTGATTGCTCTGACCATTGTTTCTTCCTCTTTCTCCGTAACAGATTACAGATAAAAATGAAAAATGGTTCAGTATGTACTTTGGTGCAAGAGTAAATCTCTGACAAATAGCCCCGAGACCGATGCTGCTGAAGCCCTGTTATCTCGTACACTCCAGGTAAATCCAGTTTTGCTTGCTGTAGGATGGATGCAAGTAGAGTTTGATAAATAAAACGACGTCAAGAAGCCTTTAAACCATCCGTCCCAAGTGGCCCACAATTCAGTGCAATGAGAATGGAGATAAAGGAGTTTTTATGCTGCACTAAAGTCGCATCATTCCAACAACGATTATCCTCAAACTCGATGTGATTAAACTCATTTATCAGAGTAGAGATTAGCGACGAACGAGGCAACATTGTACGGTAATAATGATTCTAGGCATTTTGATCATACGTGAGTCCTATTGTTCATAAAAAACTGTACAAGGTAGGAGAATCGTAGGGAACATTCAAGAATACTCATGGTTTTTTCAAATAAAGTCAAAATGACAATGTGATAAAAGCAGAGAAGCTTATGACGGACTAAAATGATACGTGACATCCCATTCAAGATTCCCGATTGTTCTGGACGAATTCTTCTGCACCGGAAGTTGAAAAGTTTCGAGTTTTACAATGTGAAAACAACAGTCGATAATGTCTTCGCAACGAGACCCATGGATCAGGTATTGATCATCTGGATAAACCCCTTTGGTCATGACTTTAATCGCAATACTGAGGACACGACATTACCGACTGATGGGGTGAGATTATCGGCGCAGACAATCCACTCCAGTCTGACTCATAATTGTTCGTTCTACTTGCGGCACTTCTGCGTTCATAAAACAAGTGGTCATTTACGGAGGACTATTAACAGGAGTATCAAGAAATGAATCTGAAACTATTGACTAGGTGAATGTCTTTCCAAGAGAAAGGTTTCGCGGAATACGTGAATCTATATTGCCACTGAATTTTATGAGCTATAAAAGAGTTGAAAAAAAATGATAAACAGAAGCGGGGGGATTAATATGGAAAAAGATGAACAACTATTCCAAAAAGCATTTCATGTTGGATAATTACTTCCCATTGCTGGGATTCTGATGAATATTATCTCCTCTTAAAATTCATGCAGTAAAAGGATTTTTTTTTCGTTGCAGGTTTTTTCACTAAGTCTCGCATATATGACTGCATTTTTTTTGTTTCCGGGGCGATTACGCTCTTAATTTACCGGAAAAAATACTGAAATTTAATCCTTCGTTCTCTATCTTTAATTGCAGTTTCATCGTCATTTTTATTTTTATTTGATGACTTCTCTCTGATTTGTCGTGTATTATTCGCTCGATTCGTCTCTATATACATATTATTAAATTTTCTAAACAATAAACACCAGATCTATTTATTCATCGGGAGTTAATCTGGAAAATTTTCTCCCTGATAATACTAATCCTGAAATGATCATGTCTACTAGAAACTGCAGTCGATATGGACAATTTAGAAGAAGCTAATCAAGTCCTTTCTATTTCTCCGCCTCCACCTGACTCCCCTAAAAAATGTTAATCTCAGGTAGCCTGAAATCTCGGATGATCCGCCTTATCTAAATGCAAATCTCCGTTCACACAAGTAAAGCCAATGAGAAAAAGGACATCCCACATGTTTTCAATCCCCATTACGAGAAATCCCTGAGAAAGGTTTTGAAAAAAGTGCGATTAAATACGTCCAAGTCGCCGGATATCACTCACCTTTGATAAAATCAACAGCCATTTCAAGTCCGTAAGTATCTTTGTCGCAATCGTCCAGTATATGGGCGCCAATCTTCACGCCAGGTACTATTTCTCGCTCGTTGAGCCAATCCAAGGTATAGAGCATAGCCTCCAGAGCTTGAATACCACCTTGTGGCATTATAGGGCCACAAGTAACGGTATCCTCTCTTTCATGTATCATCATTAAGCCACCCAGTACCAAATCGCCCTCGACAACTGCACTCTGCTTTACGGGCCATTGATTTGGGGATGCGAACGTGGAGTTTTCTACATCAGCTTGATCCATTGTTCGTGTATCACTGTATAGACCTGTAGAAGCGATTTCCGCTGTTTGCCACGTACCATGTATTACCCCAACAAACGGTGCATTTGTTTGATTGGTAATACCATCATCAAGAATTACAAGTGCTGCTGTATTCGACTCGGTAAAATTATCCAAGTCCGGTGCTATTCGTTTGGAGTAATTAAATGAAGTCATAGATACATTTTCAATAGGAGAAACTATAGTGATCGGTGGAGTTGTTAGTGCTCTGAGTGGTCGGTCCGTAACATTCACTCGCATGGTCAAATTGTCAGAAGGAACGTTTCGCAGAAATTTCAGAAAATTGTTTACAGCATTTGAAATTGCTGGAATCGCTGATACGGTATGGGCGGTGATTTGTGATGTGGAAAATCCAGCTGTTGTCTCATCGGACCCATCCTCACTAACTCGAGAATCCGCGAAAACTTGCGCATCGTTTATCAGACTGTCGTCGCTCGATAAATCATCCACAGAGTTAACTCTCGCTGTCTTTACCGCATATCGATTGTAATCCTTTAAGTCATAATCCCGGAGTTTCGGAGGGACAGCTGTTACAAGTGAATCTGGCCATGATTTGACGACGTAAGTTGGAAGATTCTTGGGTTTATCGATTGCAGACACAACCACAGATGGAACCGTGGCATCACTGTCAAGAGTTAGTTGAGACTGGGGGATATCTCTTGCACTAGTAGATTGTTCCCACTTGGGGGGTAAAGTTGCCGGTATTCTCGTGTTCGATGCATTCTTCATGTCTTGTGGGACCAACTGGGTAGATGCATGTACCTCTGTGGTGGCAACTTCTGCTATTAGAAGGATTTCATGATTTTGTGACGTATTGGATTCGGATAGGAGTTGGTGAATGGGATGATGGAGTGCTCTGGCAATAATACTTGTGTTCAAGTTTCGAGATTGTGATTGGCCTTTGTTTTTAATGGCTGTTTTCGGGGGTGTTTGGTTGTGAAATTCTTTGACTGTCTCAGATGTGATTTTATGTGGAAAGTTTGACGGTCTAGAATTACTGGCGTAATTAATATCTCGCACAGTGGTAGTGGATAATGGGAAAGGCATTTGCACCTCGTTAACCGACCTTTGTTGGGAATATTCGTGGGAAGTATCGTCGCTTGATTGCAAACGACGTACATCATATTCGTCGTGTGATGAAATTGTCAGCTGTACTGGTTGCGGAGGTGTTTCAACATTCCCATAGTTCTCAAGTTTCCAACTTTCTGGAGAGAGTTTCTCCATATCACCTGGTATGATTGACACTCGTTTATTCCGAGTCTGAACAGTTATCCACGGGGCCTCAGGACTTTTAGTTCCGTCCAGACTATTTATCTCGTCCTTTTTAATGACCATACTATCCCGGTTAAAACGTTTTGAAACGTCGCCTCGTCTAGATGAGATTCTACCTACCATTTGAAAAGTGTCAGATTGTGCATTAGTCCTCTGTTTTATCATCCCTGTAGTGCTCTCACTTATAACTTCACTGGTGCTATCTGGAATTTCTCTTTTCGCGGATAAACTGCCGTCACCATTGTTTCTATTACTACCAATGTGAAATACATTTGCATTTGCCTTCTTTCTCGGTAATGGAAAACGGTTTGCACTCCTTGAAAATATTGACAGCTCACTCACTGGTGCTGATGAATCGCTCTGAAAGTTTTTCAATTTTCCCTCTTTGATTTCTAACACTGTGGATGATTCTCCGTCAATTCTGTCAATCTCATTCAGCTGATTTCGATCAAAGTTTGAGTGATCTAAATCAGCTTGTTTATTAGAACTTTTCTCATCTTGAACGATAACTCCCGCCAACTTTACATTATTAGTTTTCGAATTTCGGAATATTCTTAAGCAATCATCAATGTTTGATCCAAGTTTCTTGTTAATACTTGCAGTTGGAAATATATGATGGATTATATGATCCGGTCTCGGTATTTTATCTTCAGCTGTTGATATCTTTAGTGCCCTCTCAGTCGTACTCTCTGGAAGAGGGAATAAACCCAATGGCATAACGTCCGTAATCGCATTCTTATGTAATGTTGTATCGTAATATGTAGTGGGAGCAGAACCATGTGGTTTATATTGTGATGTACTTTTTTCAGTCTCACCATTTACCGAGATCGTCCAAAAGGCCGCGAGGGCCATCCAATCATGGAGTCGCATCACGGTCTCTCTGGCTCATCATTCAATCCTGCAACAAAATGAGATCAAAATAAACCACAAATGTTCATGGAGTTTCAAGGGTGGTCTCCCTTTCAACCGGAATTACCGATTTTTTAATCTGGCAAATTGTTGATCCGATTGATTCCACAAGGTATACCATTTTTGCATTTTATCGTTATTTTATGACTCACGAAGTATCACGAGCGGGCAATAATTTTCCAGTGTTTTATGGATTTTTTGAAAGTGTTGAAAAAATGAGGGAAAAATTATTGCATAACATTTTAGGAGTCATGAAATAATGGAAAATGCGAAAATTTAAAGAATCGGTCATTTTGGCTGAAAGGGGGGAAAACATACTTGATGAAAGTTTCTTATAAATAATTCATAATCCATTGAAATTTTATTCCTGAGCAACAATTCCTGACTCACAATGTTTCCCTTTAAACCATTAATAATGGATTATCTTTTTTTATTCTCCACCATAAAACTAGTAACTTTTAATCCCATCAATCGACTACTTGAATTATTCTGTTTTCATTACTTTATCAGTAAGATGGATTATTTATGGAAAAAAAACGAGTAAATGGTAAAAGAAAGGGGGGCAAAATTGATCGCCGGGCGAAGTGGTCCGTAAAATTTTTTTTTACTGCTGATTGCATAACTCAAGTGTTAACATAAACTTCTTTGCTAATACTGATACGGAGTGGTCAATATCGATCGCGCCCACCACTCATTTGAAAACTCACAAATTTAAAATATGATCGATTATCGTTTTTAACTGAGTCACTTCGGTTATTGCATTTTTTTTTTCATTGCTGTATAATTTATGGTAATTACGACGAATTCCAGATTCTTTTTATAGTAGAGAGAATCAAATATTTTTGTAGCTCGTTCGCTTTGTCCCGCAATCCGTTTTGATAAAGCTTTTGCTATGGAAAGGTGCCGATTAGTTTTTGAAATATTTCCATGAATTTTCCACATGAAGCACTCTGCCAACCTCGTTCAACAGTTGGATCGATTTTAGCCTATACGCACCACTTATTCCAGTCGTTTACTAAAGTGAAAAGGTTTTTCACAGGGTCTATTATAAAATCAGTCACACCCCGAAAATCGGTTCCGTTATGCCGGGAGAAATAGCCATTCCAGAGACACAATCCATCTAAAAAAAGTCAATGACGTCCTTAAATTGACAGAAAAGTTTTTATTACTGGGTGATATGAAGTTATTTTATTCCAACAAATCCTCAATAGCTACACGTCGGTATCTAGTTCGTCGGTATCAGCCGATCGTCCATCACTCGATATTCAATCAGATATTCCCAGTTCCCCTTTCGAGAGATCCACTAGAATATCGATGGATAGTTTCTTGGTAAAATTTCGTTTAAGCGGTATCTTGGGTATAAATTTTCGGTGACGACATTTTTACCTCTTCCGAGAAAATTATTCAATGGTTATGGGGCACACAAGGGAAAAGAATCTTTCGTTATAACACTGAAAAAAATTAATATTTTCAAATATACGTTTACTGTTTTACTAGTATTTTTGTATTTCCATTCAAATTTTATTAATGCAATCAGTGGATTTCTCCAATTAGGATAAAAATGATAATTTAAGGCAACGAAAAAACGTGGCATAATATCGAAAGTCCATGTCGTCAAATTTTTAATTCGATACGAGACGATTGGGGGAGCCTAGGGCAATATGGCGTCGCTGAAAAATCGTACAATTTCGCAATATGGAATGATGACAATAGAAATACAGAAACGATGACCAACTAATTTTCCAATCGTTCCAAACTTGTCACTCGACTCATTACCGCAACTCAACCAATCCGACCACCTCATTCCATCATTCATTGTAGTACTCTCCCATTGATTTCGTGAAGAGCTCATATCATAATTTTCCAGACCTGAAGGCTCAGCTCCTGAGAATGAATTTTGAAACTCATGAGTAACGGGCAACTGGAGCTAGAGTCCTCACAACGCTTTTAATTGGTTCGCAATTTATCTCATGCTCGTTTCCTATTTAATATATAATATATCTGACGAATTAATAGTAAATGACTTTTAAAAACCTCGGGGAAATGTACTGAGAATTCTCCTGAGTAGTTGCAGAGGAAATTTTGTTTAATAATTTAAATAGCGATTGAAACCTGCGTCGTTCCCAGGTTAATTATCCTCAGAATCCACTCTTTGCCTCAGGCGGGTGTTATTCGGAAACCTATACCAATCCGTTAACTCCTTTCAATCGATTTAAAGTTTTACACTCAACGCCACAAATACATGGGCACATCCAGTAACTTAATCGATGCCACATTCAACTTGAGTCGCTATAATTACGAGATTGTACTGAGTTTAGGAAAAGTTTCAACTTCCAAGTGATTGGGATTGAATTGCTTGGAATACCCTCTCTAAGTAGGAGTCATTTTTACGAGCTATGGATTTAGTTCCAAGGACTGCATACACTGACGGAGCGATTTATTTATATCAAACGAGTTTCGTTAACTATTCACGAATTGCATAGTTATGGGGGTAGATGCAAATTAAATGTATCATTCGCTAATAGTCCATTTATTGGCAAAAATGACAATACTATATATTTTTTATTAATTTGATATAATTTATATATATATATTTTTTTTTATAAAAACGTCATACTTTCACGTTTTATAACATTTTACGTTC